GCCACCATTTCCACCTCCTCCAGAATAGCCACCACCACCTCCGGAATAGCCACCACTGCCGCCTCCAGAATATCCACCGGAGCTAAAGACAGGCACAATGTAGATACTTGTTACCGCGAGATTACGTTTCTTGGCAAAAGTTGTAATTGTAGGAAAGAAAGACACTTTTCCAATAAATTATAGCGTGAATTTATAAACGTATTTGGTTCACTTATTTTCGAAAATGTACAGATAGAAATACATGCTGTGCTCGTTCTAAATGGAATATATTTGAAGTTATTCAAGTAAGAGAAAAAAATATCGTGAATTTTTTACCCTCCGAAACTGCCACCACCGGTGCTAGGTGTACCGTAAGTCGAAGATGGTCTTGAGTATCCGCCACCGCCTCCGCCTCCGTTAGGTGCACCATAGCTGCTAGATATGCCTCCACCTCCAGAGCTTGGTGCTCCGTAAGTTGAAGATATCGAACCACCACCACCTCCACGTGACGGTGCGCCGTAGCTTGACGAAATTCCGTTACTGTAACTGCCGCCGCCTCCGGATGATGGAGCGCCGTAATTGCTCGATGGTCTCCCACCACCACCGTTTGGTGCTCCGTAAGTACTGGATGGTCTGCCACCACCACCGTTTGGTGCTCCGTAAGTACTGGATGGTCTGCCACCACCACCGTTTGGTGCACCATAAGTACTGGATGGTGCGCCATAGTTACTGGACGGAGCTCCATAGGTACTGGACGGTGCTCCGTAAGATGATGATGGTCGGCCGCCACCGCCGCCGCCACCACCACCACCAGCAGATGGTGCACCATAATTAGAGGATGGTCCTGAACCGAAGCTTCCGCTTCCTAAATTCGGTGTTCCATAGCTTGTTGATGGTGGTAAGTAGCTGCCTGAGACTGGTGCTGTGAAGATACGATTTGTTTGACTAGTTACTTTCATGTGAAATATTCTGTAGTGGTAAGTAATAAATTCAGAGTGCGCTATATGATTTACTCGTATCGATAGTAACCTACAATATAGTGAAACGAAATTTACATGTCGATTGTTTTCTTTTGCCTTTTTTTTCTATTTAGCATTTTCATATTTTCTTCTCGTACAAATGAGTTATTACCTACTTGCATGGAACAGGGGATCAAATTAGATGGAAACTCTGTTTTTGTAAGTTGTCAAGTTTCCAAGTTTGTAGGGACAGGTGGCATAGCACTAACAAGATCACGATTCTCTATGTCTTTTTGTCCTTATATTCATCGTTAGCCGGTGAAAGTGTGAGAGTCTCCTAAATGACTCTATCTTCACGATTATCCCGTGCGACCGAAGTTTACAAACTTCACGTTAGATTCTCTTAATTTGTCTACAACCTCTTCGTCAAATCTGTTGAGGTATAACTACCTTTGAAATTGCAGAGTTCAGGAGCTACAATTCGTTCGCATGGTCTTTAATCAAGTTCGTGACCGATTTTCCCTCGACTATTCTTCATTGTCTGCATCGTCTACACGCGCATTGCCGGAAGAACGTTCGTAATTGAGAATGTTCAAGGTTCGCTTAATGACTTAATGAATTTAAAATTTTCACTTTTTAGGGTACATCATTTTTCATAAAATTAATCACAAGAAATCTACACGTTCTATTGCAATTCTACTTGTAATTTGCGTAGTACCACTTATGAGTACGCTCGCTGAAACAGTTCGCTGTTTTTGAAAGTGTAACTATTTTTATGCAATTAAATTCGATTATCTTGAAACGATTTTGTTATTAATAGTTAATGTGAATTATGCTTTGCACGAGTGAATATATAACTTCCGAATAATAAATATTTAGCAATTTAGTTCTATACGGTGTGACCTAATTTTGAAATTAAACTCAAGCCACAATTCGTATCACATTTTATTACGTAAAGTGAAATTTTAATGGTTAATTAGCCAAACGCGGAAATACTTACGTGATTACTCTTCATTAAGGACAGTGTAACCTGTCTTCGATAAAATAGAGTACATTACCTCAAAATCGTAAATAGACTGTAAGAACTTCTATTAAGAAATTTACTTGCCCTATCCATTATTTTCAATTAAACACCGATTGCATCGGTAGTTTCGACTTTATAGAACGCTATTATTTTTTAAACATTATCGTGCTTGGAACAGAATCTTATCAATAGTGTTGTTCAGTCTATGTTTAAACGTGTGTCACATTCTCTCGTTTTTCTTTTTAATAGAACGCTTATTTTTACATTTTATGTGGCTCTTGTAATTGATTCGTTATACTTGAATTTTGCAACTATCAGGAAAGAAACTTCATTTTCGATGTCTTTTTCGTTTAACCTAATTCTTCCATTACTGAAATCTAACAAAACCAAGAGAAAGTATTTTTTGTATAGTAAAGTAATTATGTTGGTTAATTTTTTCAAGCAGAATAGACTGTTGCTAAATATTACTTTGAATTTTGATGTCGGGAATATGAATATTTTGAGCTACAGAACTTCTTTATATCATTTTAACAGTTAAAACGTAACTCGAATTTTGAAATTGAAAATGTCACGGGAAACATTTGATTTTATTAAATCAGTTCATACATACGTCACGTTGCAAGTTACAAGCTCGGCGTTTACACTAGATTCTACTCGGTACATACGATTTCGTCGAAGTACCATATCGATAATTCATGACGGTACGTAGTTTGAATATTCGAAACTGGCGAACGGTGACGATTTCTATTTTTTCGTTCTCACGTCCTAATTTTTCAATTTCATGTTCCATTTTCGTTTATCGACCACGAGGACAGGTTGCCTACCCGCGAGGAGAAATTTCGCGCGGCGCATCGCGTGAAATTTATCTTTCACCCGATTCAACACATGCAAAATGATAGTTCCGCTCTATCGCGCTAATCGCGGCATTACCGTAGAACACCGCAATATCACCTCTGTGTTGATCTCTGTCTTTTTGAAACTTTCTACTTTTTTCTCCATGGCTCTCGACTTTCTATGGTCTTCAGTGGACATTTCTGTTTGTTCGCTTGGATTTCCGAAGGGTAATAAAAAGGTAATCTAACGCGCTTCTGTTACACTTTCGCCATGCAATTTCAGCTTTTAATTACCGAACACACTTTCACTTATCAGGCTACTCCAAGTGTCGAACATTCGAGAATTTTAGATGTGAAAAATTCTGACAATTTTTAACGTAACTAAAAAAAACTCTTAGCTTCACCGTTCAGAGAACATTTCGTCAAATTAGGAAATTGGAGTACAACATAAACTCGACACTACAGCTAGTTGCTTCCCTCAAGATTCTCTAGGTCGTGTTGCAAGGCGAGTTGGAAAAGCAGTGTCGGAAATTTTCGATGGATATTCTTACCCTCGGCATAGATAGGCTGCAGAAGCAGGGCCGTAGCGAGTACGGTCGCTGCCAGGGGAGCCCAGCTTTTCGTGGGCTTCATTGTCCCTGACGAGTGGTTGACGAAGCTTGAAGTTACAGCCGAAGCCGATTCACATGCACGAACTGTTCTTCCACCTCGAGAGGACTTCTCGGTATGATCACGTGCGTAACGTAGGAAGAAGAATTTAGAGAAAAGAAGGAAAAAAATGACTCAACTGTGAGTTAGAGGCGCGGAGGCGACGTGGCCTGCTCGACGCATCCGTAAGATTTAGTCTAACGTGCTTCAAACATCGTCGATCTCGCTTATATAGTTAGTCGTCTTTCGGAGAAAGTCCTCGCGGGAGTGCAAAAGGATGCTACCAGGTAGGTGAGACTTCTTGGTGAACGTGGGGGACGAGTGTGGGGTGAAAGATAGGGAAGGGGCAAGTTAAGGACAGGAGGGGATCGAGGACCCTAAGTAGAAGATCGGACAGAAGATGCGTCGTGGCGTCGTGGTTGACCCTGGTTAAATCGTTACCGCTGTGTGTGTGTGTGTGTTTTTTCCTTCTTCTCCCTTTTAAAGCCGTCTCATGCATCTTTTTTCATCGTTTTCATCTTTCAATAATTGTTCACGTCCTTTCTTCGTTTTCCTTTCCTGTCGCGTCACGAACTTAACGCTCTCGTTATGATAAATTGCTGCAGTTGCGGCCTTGATGTCATAGCTGATGGAAGAGCGATCGAGGAGATGATGATGGTACAACAGTCAACCGAGGCACGGACATGCATATTACACTGCGTTATCCGATCTTTCGTCATTTTATAAAATATTTATGTAGATTATTTGTTGCATCCTTTTGTAACAATTGCATTCGTTAGACGTGAACTTTACCAAAGGTTGTCCTCTCTCATATCGGAGTTTTCGACGTAAATCAGATTAAGAGTTTGTAAGCGCGTACAATTTTCAACGAAGTACTTCGAGTTCTTTATTCAGTAATTGTAACACGGTTATCTCGTAAATAAACCATCTATCATTTGTACACCGAGGGAAAAATTTCGCTTGTTCTTAACGCTACAGTAGATAATTAATAAATATGAAGTATGATTTATTCGTGAATAAAGTGAAATTAGTAATTTCAGTTACTAAATTAAATGAAATTGGAGCTGTTGTATTTGAAGAACATAGTATTCCTTTGTTTAAAATTATAAGTTGGCTATTTCTTTCTTTATAGATAATATTAGTTAAATAAAATAATCCTGTAAAACATTAGCAACATTACAAGAGTGAATTTTTGGTTAAACAATCTGTCTCGTGAACATGCGGAAAACAAAATCAGAAAGTTGCAAACGATAATACCCATCGGTAGAGTGCAGAGTTTTATGCACGTGTGGAAAATTTTAAGGTACAAAAATACACACGCATAAATAAACTCAACATACAGTACTCGTTATAATATTTAGCGAATAAAAAAATTGCCTATCTAGCTTCTGCTTTTTTAATTATATTCATAAAGATATGAATTTGCATAAAAGTCCGCAGTCTACTTGTCAGTATCGAAAACGTTGCTAATGGGTCATTTTTGACCCAGTCGGTCCTTCTAGTGTTAAGGAAGAGGAAGTATAAGTAGCGTAAACGTAGTTGAGGTTTTATTTTCATGTGTTCTCTGAATGACTCGCATACTTCAAGTAGAAATGGTAATGAACTATTGGGCTTTCGGTAAGCATTGACACTGGTTCAAGTATTTAGTGCTATTATGGACGCTTAATTATTGCAGTCATGATAACGAGGTTAGAAGTTCTTTCGAGTTGGACTTTTTAAAGGGAAAGCAGTCGTATTTTGCATTTTGATTTGTAAGCCGTAAAAGTGCAATACATAGCAACGAACTTTGGAAAGTTTACTAAATTATTTTGCGCTCTAATTTTTCTATTAAATTATCATTACTAAATATTACGAAACTCTACCGATAGTTGTTTGCCGTAATTAATTCTAATACCATGATTACTATAACGCTGTAAGGTACAGCTTTGTAGATTAAATATCAATCGTCGTGTAAAATTGTGGGAAAGTTAGATTATTTGATGGAAATGTTGGAAAATCTATGCTGTAATACGTAATAAAGTCGGGTAATTTTCTTACAATCAGTCTTAGTTAGTAAAAAGAACCATTTACCAAATGTAATGTAGATTTTTATTCGGTTATTTAAAGTACAAACGTGCACTAATCAACATACATACAACACATAACACAAAATGACACATTAAGAAACACAATGCACATATTGGTTTATATACTCAGAAAAATAAAATCAACGTAGATTATATAAATCTATTTTTTGTACTAAATGCAATTCGCTATTTATTAAAGGCTTTTTAAATGTACCAAACTTGTTCGTTTTTTATTTTCAGAGAGATTCCCCTTTTTTCATTCGTGTCCTCCACTTCGAATCGATTACCAATGTTTCTTTTAACCCTTTCGCGACTAGCGCCGGTTATATCCGGCATCCACTAAATGCTTCACACTGGCTAGCGCCGGTTATATCCGGCATCCACTAAATGCTTCACACTGGCTAACGCCGGTTATATCCGGCAACCATTAAGCGCGTCGCATTGGCTCGCGCCTCAACAACTCAAAGTGAAAATTTATTTTAAAATACAGAATAAGGCCTCAACGACATTCCCTTTGTCCGATACACCCTTAAGCCCTCTGCTGTTCCAACGAAATCCTGTAAGATTTGAAAAAACGCGAGACACTCTTAATGTGTACGGTGTGCACTAATGTGCACTAGTTCCGCCGTCGCGAAAGGGCTAAATTGTCAAATTTTTAAATACGGATCCTATGGATCAGATTAAGAATTTGTAAGCGCCAACAATTCCGTAAAGTATTATCAAATTCTTTATTTACTAATTCCAACTCGATCATCTTGCAAATGTAACATAACGAAATTGTAATTGTTGCAATCAATATCATTCTCGATTGCATAAACTAATATATATGTAAATTCTTTCCCCCCAATAATTCACGTGTCGGATTGTCGAGTGAACGAGACGAATCCTCGTTTCATTTAATAATCACGGACGATTAATATAAATTGCCGGGCGACGATGGAACAGCAGTTACACCACATTTTTGCGCAACCAACAAAGGCAGATCGAAAGCCATAGTCTCGCTAAATTAGGATTAAGAATCTACCGGCTGCATGGGTGAGCACGGCTAATGTTCCTACTTAAGCAACCACTTGTCCGGAACAATTTTCTGACCCGTTGCGATATACCAGAGCACCGCTGACGATAAGCACGGATTTCTAGGCCGTAGACACGATCTGTCTATGTAGACGGTAGCTGTTCGCGAAAATGATGGTATCGCCGATCGAATACAGACATACATGTTGGACGTTTCTACGAAGCGAACCTGGTAGAGTGCAATCTAGCAAATCGATGTATTATTGTGTGTATCGCACGTACGTTTCACCCTTTTACTCAATCGTCGTCGGCTCGATGATATACAGCGGCCGATTGCATCTGTGCGCCGTGTAAATTTATTCGCTCGGTTTAGACGTTGCAAATTGGAAGAACAATATGATGCATCGATTTCAGTTCATGATTCCGCAGTTTTATCTGCAGCGACCGAGCAAATCTGAAATCTCGCGCAGGTGATTCTCATTTAGAACGGAGCACGAATTTTCGGTTGTTTCCTTCGGTTTCCCCGTTGGTGGAAGTAGCCGAGTGTGGGAATCACACGGCGTGAGTTGTTTCTTCCATTCAACGATCCGTTCGCAGATCAACGTTCAGATTTCACGATCTACGCACGTTTCACGAGTCTCTATCGTCCGTCACTTTTCTCCCTTTTGTGCCAATCCACACGCTGATGTTCACGAAATATCCCCCCCCCCGACACTTAGCACGCTCTCACTGAATGCTGAAAGAACATTGCTAAATCGACGATTTATTATTGCTCGTGTAGCAATAACGTGGCCAATGCTGGCGCGCCACGGCTGCTGAGATGCACCCGCTATGACAAACGTTGCATTACTATGAACAGTTGGCCCAGATTTGAATGCGTTTATTGCCCGCTGATTGAACCGTTGCGGCGGTGTGTTTGCTCTGTAACGAAAATATCGGACTTCTCTAATTCACCTTAGCGTGCACCGATTGATGAAGTTCCAAGTGGCGAGAAATTGAAGCTCGCGATCTTTCGCCGGTCAATTTACCAGTGTTCCGATAATTGAACCTGGAAATGTAATTGTCGATACTGTTGAAACTTTACCGATATGCGTATTTGCTTTTTCATCGTCTCCACTGTTCCGGATAAAATGATAGCACATCTGTGTTACCTTGTTTTTCCAGAGATATATAACTTGGAATTTTCTAATTTTAGCAGATAGAGTATGAATGTTGCGAAGATGGAAGCTGTTGTTGTTAAATGCATAAACATGTTTAGTCTAAAAAGAGAATTTATTCAAATAAGAGAAGTTTGGTAACGAGAAAACTCTATTTTGAAGCTTTGCATATGCGTATTTCTAGTTGATAACGAAACTATTTTTTGGTTCGGTGGCGAAACGGTCCTACGGGTGAAAACGTCTCCTCGAAAAAATTCAGTTTGCATGTCGTCGTGAATGTTTACGAAACCGTATAAAATTTAAAGTTTCACGGTTTTTTATTGGCGAGGGTAAATTTTGAATAGGAAACGTTTCTCGAAAATTTAGAACATCAAAAACCACACAAATTTTCCATATCTTGTACTTTTCACCATTAGGACCGTTTCGTTGCCGAAATAGCAACGATATCGTTATTAGCGTCAGTTGGACTACATTTCTGCAAAGTTTCAAATTTTTTGGAATTTTTGGACTGCCAAACTTCCCTTGTAAGTTGAAATTAATAACGAGTACAACACGCGTTTGCTTTCAATTACTTCAATCATTCGTTTCGACGAGGATTCGAACAGTAAATTCTTCCATTCCACTGCGATGGATTCTTTTGATCGACAAATGCTGTCAAATCGCTTTCTATCTTTATGCACTACTATCTTTGGGAAATGAAAGATAGCACGCGTGTGCTTAGGAACTTATTATCAAGTTATCGGATACT